GATGTCCTGGTTCCTTGATGTTTAATTAGATATGATTCTTTCATTTCAAGCAGTTATCTCAGCAATCATCCCGCTCAGCCTCTCCTCTTCTCCCTCCTCTGTCCTATCTGCTGTTTCCTCGTGTATTCTTGTGGGACAAGCTGAACTCCTTTCCTCTTTATCTTCCTCTCCTTCATCCTTCTTCCCCTCCCTTCCCTCTCCTCCCCTCCTGCTTGACCTGCACAACAAGAGAAGGGCTCCCCTGCACCTCTTCCTGAACGAGGGGTCGCAGGCAGCGTACAGTAGAGGGTTAAGGCAGGAGTTGAGATAAGCTAAACATGTGACGTAGGGCTGAGCAGCCAGTAAAATCTGATCCAAAGAGCAGGAGTACGGGACATAACCAAACTCCAGCAGCATGGAGACAGTCTTATTAACATGCAGGGGCAGCCAGCACAGGAAGAAAGCCATTACTAGAGTGACGATGACCCTGAGGAGTCTTCGCTGGCGCCTGCGGTCAGGGCGAGGGCCCCGTCCAAAATGTCTGCTGAGGAGCTGGGCCAATGAGCAGTAGCAGACCAGCAAGATGACAAGAGGAAGCAGGAAGCCAATTAGAGTTGATTTAAGACTCAAAGCAGCCGCCCACCACACCTCTGCCCTCTCTCGATCCGCCTCTACCAGATCTGCTCCAATCAGCATGGAGTAATCCATCTGGCAGATGAGGATGACTGATCCAGAGTCAGTGGTAGGATGAATTTCTTCATAATCATAATAAGACTCAGGGTCCAGCTCCCTGACAGAGCGCAGCAGCAAACCAGGAAGTGCCAGCACCCCTGCCAGCACCCACACCCCTCCAAGTACCCACAATGCCCTGCTGGGGCAGCTCTGTGGGGCGTGGTGGCTGGAGTGGCGTCTCCCAGTCAGAACCCAGTACCGCTCCACACTGAGCATGCTCAGACTGAACACGCTGGCGTACATGTTGAGCGCCGTGAGGAAGCTGCTGATCTGGCAGAGGGGCTGCCCAAAAGGCCAGTGGTAGCCCATGGCCGTGTACACCGCCCACAGAGGGAGAGTGACGAGGAAGCAGAGGTCAGCCAACGCCAGGCTGGCTATCAGGGAGTCTGTGAGTGAGCGGGGGGGACGGGGGATGTAGGGAGGATGAGAGGAGGAGTGAGAGGAGGGTCTTTCTTCTGGTGAAGATCCATCTGCTTTCTTCTGAGGAGATCCACCAGTGCTGCTAATGCTCTGCTGTCTGATTCTGATCAGGCCAGTGAAACAGGTCTTTCCGGTTCCCCTTCCATCGGGTCGGTCCAGGTAGGCCCACAACACCAGGCCGTTGCCGAGGCAACCAACCAAAAAGGCCAGCAGGTAGACGGACGGGATGATGGAGAAGGAGGGAGACCAGTCGCTGTAGTCGCAGTGGAAGAGGGCAGGGGGAGAAGGAGAGGGGGAGGTGAGGAAGTCTGACATCTGTGCGTCCGTCTGCTAAGTTTCTAAATATAATGAATCGCCATTATCATCTCTGGCGACCCAATACTGAAGAAAAAGTCCAAATGCCCGCACTGGTACTATTGTTCCAGGGCCGAAATTCCAGTAGCAGATGAGTCCCTTGTTCAGTCTCACAGAAGGTTGAATTGGATGATCTAAAAGTACGAAAAAAGCAATGAGATTCTCAAACTTTTGCAACAGGCAAAAACACTGTACGTGCACACCTCATAACAACAAGTCAAAGTTCAAATCTTACTTTAGGGATTTTGTCCGGGGCAATTTGGACTAATCTGCCAGAGAATGTTGCAAACAGACTTTTTTTAACATGCAAACAACAAAAAGTCTTCAGTGCACGTGAACTGCGTGTTCCTGTCCATGCTCATACTGTTTATGTTCTCTTGCGCAAAGATGTCAGATGACTTAAGGCGACTTTAAAGCAACATTTTTGTGTTTTTATGCAACACCATTTGAAAGAAAAGTGTAACTCCTACAGGACAACCAGAATCACGGAAGAAGGTTCTGGATCAAAACACACAAATAGACAGATTCTCACACTGCACTAATGCAGGAACATTACATACAGTGAAGTAAGGGACCTTTGCCAGGCATTGATAAACTATTGGTAAAAATAGCAGCATGTGAATTTTATGTCTGTTCTGCATTTCCTTTTGCAATATTTGGACGACTAGCTTTTATAAAACATCCTGGCTGTCTTAGACTAAATGAAGAACTGCTCTTGAGAGGAATGATGACACCTACCTCAGGCCAATTCATAAGATTGGATGACAAAATCCTTTTTCGAGATACTGTGATGATTGGGTGATGATCATTGTGGATTCAGCCGCTGTCCTCTCCTCCTGTCTTCTCTTCTTTAACTTTCTCTCTGCCACTTTTCCTCCTCATCCTCTCTACATCTATACTGAGCCGGCTGAGGAAGGTGTGTCTTCCTCTGAGTCTGAATAGATAGCATAGTCCTCCATACACACACATGCACACCCCCCCTTTGTTTCTTAAACCAGACCACCCCAGCAGAGACTTACGAGACCTGCAAACAACCCCCCCCCCAACTACCCAAACACACACACCTCCCGCGAGACACAATAACATCACCCATCCTTCCCCCCTGCAAACACACACAACCTGAGACTCACAAATAGAAACACAAACAGATTTCCCACAATCCTCTAAGCTGCTCATATTCTCAACGCACATACAGAACACAGATGTGTGCAAACACTAACACATTCTTTTGTTGTGTTTCCCATGTTCAAACACACACAGTGTATACAGTGGTTAAATGTAACAACCCACAAGACAGCTCTCACTTTCCCTCACAAAGAACGGGAAAGTGGATGCATGATACAGCTTTCATGCATATATTTAAAGGGCCTTTAAATCATTACTCTGGACAAACCTGGTTTAAAAAACACAGCTGTGTCATCTTCTGCCAAAAGGTTCAAAGTAAACATTTTATTAAAGTACTGTCTGTAGTGTGAAGTACAATGTTGAGTAGTACACTTTACTTGAGCATACTACTTCTACTCCACTACATTGTAAAGGGACATATTCTACTTGTTTACTTCACTGCACTTATTTGACACACATAAGTTAAGAGCTACTTTGATTAGACCTCCTAAATAAAAAGTGTATTTGTGTTATAAGTTGGCAAAGACACAACATTTGCGTCATAGTTACAGCCATTGCAGGCAACATGCTATGAGAGAATAAAAGGTTATTTGTTAGACTTGTACATTGTCTCCTTATCCCTCATACGTGATACAGCAATTTGCAAATACAGGAGAGATAGTAGTATGGCTAGCAGGGCTGTCAGTCAAGTTGTATCATCTTATCAGAGTAATGTTTTGATATGTGGACCAAAAGTGGAATATAAATGAACTTAATAGATAACTGGACAGTAATATTTTCAACTTTATTGAGAAAAGAGAAGATATTCATACTGACCAGTAACTGTCTTCCTAATCAACAGCAGAATATTTTTTTTGTTATACTCAAATTATAAGCATAAGTAAGTAAGGTGATTTGATAGAGCTTTTGTTGTTTTACAGCATTTTAAAGTACTGTTTCCCTGTTATCTAATCTTAGTTATTTGATGGATGGACAGAGGGATGGATGGATGGACACTACAGGTCAGTACGGGGTTACAGTGTAAACAGTGAAAGTGAAGATGTCCCGATAGTAAACAGGAAGTGTTTGTTACCACAGGGGCAGAGGTCACACTCTGCCCCATCAACTGTTGTTATGGAAACAGATGTTTCTAAAAACATTCCATTCTTTTCTCTCTTTCTCTCTCTCTCTCACACACACAAACACACACACACACACACACACACACACACACACACACACACACACACACACACACACACACACACACACACACACACACAATGAAAGAAAGGCAGAGTAAATACAACTGTTTCATTGAGAATCCAACTGTTGGGGAGGATGCGCTGCGGGGTAACAAACAGCTGTACGGCAGAGAAGACATTAAAATACAGTATACAGATCAAGGGTTGGTATTGATAGCAGATATACAGATACGAGCACCTCATGCTTGACACTGTTTGCATAAAACATTATCTATTTTGGTTAATTATCAGATATTGTAGCAAATATTTATACTCAGTAGATTGAAGCATAATTTTAACAGTATCTTAAAAGAGTATGCATTACAATTGTTAATAGTTTATGGTTCATGGGGCTTGAAAATAAACACCTAGATATAGCTTAGTGCTAAAATATACAGCGGCTTTGCTTAATTGCATGAGTATCAATTACCAGAAGGTTAAAAACAAGTCTTTAGGCCGGTAAAGAACTTTGACTGGAAACCTGTAACGTCTGAGCTGATCTGACATTATTTTGTGCAATGAGGCTTGAATGAAAGGTTTCAAATATTAAACATACTAAATGACTGTTTCGGGCATCATTTTGTCATTTTTACAGCTGACTCATTGAAGGAAATCAAAGGTGTTATTTAATAATGGCTTACAGGAACCTTTTGTGTAAATGGAGCAGAGTCACCATTAATGTTATTAGTCAAATGTGTGCTGTGAAATAAAGGCTTATTGTGTGGGTGCTTAGACTCTTCTTGATTGATAGTTTCCTTTATGTCATGTTCAGTTTTATTTCGGTACAGTGATGACTAAAAAGACCTAAAAGATGCCGCTTTAGCCAGAATGACTCAGAAAGGAGCTGTGTTTGAACAGCTTTTAGGATCTTCTCTGAACTGTGCCATCCACCAATGGATTTTCAAACATGGTAATAGTTTGCCTACTGGTAATGTGAACAAGATAAGAATTTGCATAATATGCCTGGGACAGTATGAAGCACAGAGGAGGCAAAGTCCACATAGCAGGACGACCTTTCAAAGGGATTAAAAGCACCGTGGATTGGAAACGGAACCATTTCGTAATGATTGTCTCCAGAGCATATCAATCGATCCTCTTTGTTCTTGTAATTGTGATGGCAGGAGCAGAAGTACAGGAAAACCTCTCTCCCAACTGTAAACAGTTCCTGTACATGGGCACGCTGCCTCGAGGGCTTCAGCAGCTGTCTTTTAAAAAGATTTGCCAGTTCTACGAGGGCAAACCACGATTCGTCACCCTGTTCGACACCTTCAGCCACATCCCCATTTATTCTGCGTACACCTTCAAGCGCTCGGACGGCTCCAAGAAGGTGGATGTGCCTTGGATGTATGAACCACAGGTAGGGGTTGAGTGTTGGATTTGCTGTCTTAACCTGCTTTGAAAAAAGCATACAGTCCTACGTTTATGCTAAATACTTTAAATCTACTTACTTAAACACACATTTGAGTTTTTATTTAGTTCAATATTTATCTCCACAGCTCTCCACAGTGTCTGATTCACGTGAGATGCAGCCCTTCCCTTCAGAAAACCTTCACAAGAGCTTTGAGGATGCTCAGGCCGTGCTTGAAGACTACTCCAACAGTGTCATGTTTGAACGTGGTCAGCTGAATCCGGACGAGCACCAGGGCGACATCCATGACAAAGCCTCCACCTACACGCTGACAAACGTGGTCCCTCAGGTCAGAGAGTTCAACATTGGCCCCTGGAAAGATCACCTGCACATGATTCGCAGGCGGCTCAACAACTACTGTCGTGGCACCGCATATATAGTCACCGGGGTCACGACCTCTGGGCACAGCATCCGCAGACACAACATCAACCGCCTGGGCATCCCCACCTACCTGTGGTCGGCATACTGCTGCATCGATTTTGACCACAATGCACCATTCTCCGAGCGCTCAAAGTTTCCTGTGTTTGCAGCTCACGGGCTCAACGACAGGGAGGATAACAAGGTCCAGGAGATGACGGTGCAGCAGCTGGAGGACTTCCTGAAGAAGGTTACCTATGTCGACAGCTCCTTCCAGATCTTCTATGCCAACTGCGTGGCTCTCAATAGTGCCATGCCGTGAGAGAAGAAGATTGGTCCTTTTATATTTATGCAATTGTCTTTAAGATTCCAAATTCAGCCGTCAAATAGGAGTAAATATTGAATTACTTTATGCAGTTTTCTGGGGTAATTTAAACTTGATGCTCCCTTGTCTCAATTTCTTCACCAATATATAATCTAGTATATCTTTATTTGCTCTTTGGCAGCTTGTTTGCAGATTGAAATGTAAATCCCACCACCACTATTACACTGATCTTTTCTTATTTAACGTGGTCAAAGTGTAAAGAATATAACCCCAAAGGTCCTCTTAAAAACTTTTCCGAGCACCATTTGCTGAGAAGGATGTGTTTTGAAAGCTCTGAAAAGATACTAAGTGAAACTTTGAGCTTAGATTTGTATTCATATAATTGTCCCCAAAGGTTAAAATTGGTCTTACATTAAAACATTGGTCGGAGTAAAACATTTGAAATGATGTTGTACTTGATGGTGCGTCAACTAGCTTGTGTTGCGAGTTCACTCACCATGAAAACCCTAAATGGTTGTACTCTTCCTTCACTCTATCCTTATCTGATGTTAATTTACTGACTGGGAACTACTCCAGCCTCTGTAGGCCTTTTGTTCATCACCGACAGATTAGACCAGCAGTTTTACATCCAGCCTCTTAACTGCAGCTATACACCTTTATAGTAACCAACACAGAGAAACTCATGACCAACTGGTGTACAATCCACATTCTGACTTATCAGTCTGTTATCCTCAACAAGACTATTCCCATCAAATAGTTTTACTTATCATTGAATAATAGGAATTAGTGTATCAGAATAGCAAACAGTAAAAAATGAAATGGGCTCAGCTTATTTTGTTATTTTTGAGGTACCTCCTTTTCTTTACATTTGGATTTCAAACTGTGCCATGAAATGTGAAAGCTATATTGAGTATAAATAAAATAAGATGATAATCCCTGAGCTTTTTTGTGTTTATTACTTTTGGTCCAGATCTGGTCAAATCTCTTTTGCTACAGCCTGCCATAGATGCTAAAAACCAAAACACAACAATAAAATGATCCAAATCTCGAAGGGCAGACACAGCCCGAGGGTTAAGATTATGGTTGTAACTGTATTTTGTTGGAGAGGGTAGCTGTATGTTGCCAGCTGGCAGGTCACTGAGCCAGATGGTCGGCTCCACTGTTTGACCAGCTGCAGACTGACAAAGAGTCCAACAAATATATTGCAAACCCTTAATTGGAAATGCACTAAGACTTATTGCCAGCAGAGGGAGACAGTGTTCATGTAATATGTGTGTAGCTAAACACCTTATAGAGTGCCACAGTGACGCGTCCTAAAACCCGGAAGTAACCCGGTTCCCTCGACAAAAAAAGCAATGCAATTTCTCCATAGGATTTTGTAAAATAGCTCGAAATAAGGTCTGTGGTTGACACACATTTAAGAGATGGATCACGTTTTGTTCAGTCGGATAATCTCCAGATGTCTACCCTACTTTTATCATTTTCAAATCATAAATCTACAGATCATAAATCTATCAATTAGATTTATGATTCAAAAATGATAAAAGTACTCTATTGTGAGAGTGCTGTTCTAACATCCACCAACAACAAGCATATTATCCTGACTATTAAAAAAAAGGTGGAAAAATACTTCAGTGTTTTGAAGATTATGTAAAAGTAATGATTACGCAAAGACATCAGCGTTTTGACAACACTTAATTCAAAGACAGACTTCATTTTATAAACTCAACATTTTTAATGTCTCTTCAAGAGTTTCTACATTTCACACATTCAGCTCAAAGTTAAAAAAACAAAAACTCATATTTCTGTACAAAGCTGAGCAGTTTGTGCAACAGCATCCTGTAAGCACAACGTCTACCTACAGTAAACCATTTTCAAAATATGCTGAATCATTGCAGGACAGAAACACTTTTTAAAAAAATGTAATAATGGTAAATTGTTGCTCTTTGTACTTCAAAGAAATAACAGTTTGGCTTCACATAGAGCCAAATCTCTCTCTCTCTCTCACTCTCTCTCTCTCCATTCACTTAAAACGCTCACAAGAGTAAGAAGCCACAGTTGTCGGTGCTTTGCAGCAGCAGTCCGGTTTGAGTGTTTTGGCCTCAGTTGAACCAGGTGGTGTTGAGCTGCGTCTGTTTCTTGATGCTAGTGTCCACCTTGAGGACTTCTCTGATGGCCATGGTAGCGTAGGTTGATGGAGGTAGGGAGAACTCCATCCTCAGAGCCCGATGCTTCCCCTCTGTCGGAGGAATGAGAGAAACACCGTGTCAGAGAAAGAGGACGGTCAAAAAGACCCTATAAAGCCAACAAATATCAACATTCATGCATCCCAGCTCTATGCTGCCAATGTATTGCAGATTGTTTAACGTGCCAAGTTCGACAGAGGTGATATAATGCATCTAGAATAACTAGAATTAACGCCATGGGTCTGAACTCCTCCAACAGAAAGTCAAATTGCATTTTGCATAAGTGACCTGGTCCATCGAAATCAGTCGCATTGACCCGAAGACACATTTTGAGTTGTATACACTGTTTGAAAGAGGAGATTCATAGCTTTCTAATGATATCATGATTGTTTTTGTACTCCAAATATTAAGCAAAATATGTCACATTATATAATGACTGTCACCGAGTCATCATTTTGAGAAAAAGGCCTTCAAAGTTTTCTCTTCTCTNAAAAAAAAAATATATATATATATATATTTATTTATTTATTTATTTTTTTGGTAGTTTAATGGATAGTGAGGTGGGTTGATGATCGGCAGGTTGCGAGTTCAAATCCTGCCTGGAACACCACTACTAGTGTGCCCTTAGCACTTAGCCCTCGGTTACTCCAGGGAGAATGTCCCTGTAATTGGTCATTGTAAGTCACTTTGGAATAAGGCGTCTGCGAAATGCCTAAATTGGAAATTGGAAATTATATTTTGGGGAGAATAAACCCCACAGATCCTCAACTCCGGTGTGTTTCACTCATTAGCAACGCAACACAGAGCAACAAGAACCTTATGGGGGGGGGGGGGTTGCGGTGCGGTGCCCCCACAAATAGAATCAAATTCTGTGGGAAACACAAAGCATAATAGCTAATGTTAGCTCCATGAGTTGGTTGTTGGTCTCTTGGAAGACATTTAAAGCCTAATTAATTGTAAATATTAGCTAGTCTTAGTGTTGAATATACCCACGATGAGGTCAAATGAAGAATGGCCTCGGACTTTTTACATCACAAGAGAAAAGCTTTCCAGGATAGCGACTAATCTGTTTGGTAATGCTATCTTGGATGGCATAGAAATTCCCCGAAGTGTGTGTGAGTGTGTGTGAGTGTGTGTGTCTGTTGGTACTGAGATAAGGCGAGATCTGGTGTGTGTCAATGCCACCTCGGTCCCTATTTAGAAACAGCGGGTAAAAAAGAGTCAGACATACTGTAGGGTGGAGCTGGGATGTGTAACGTGGAAAAAGCCGGACAAGATAGGAAAAGAGTAGAAGAAGTTTTCTTTATTGATTGGTGTATTTGTGGGGTGATGGGTTTGGCAGTTTATTGTGTGGTTGGCTGAGTGGATGGTTGATTGGTGTGTTGAATAGTTGTGTATTTATTCGGTTGATTGTCAAACTGGTCTCTGGGTTGATTGACTCGTTGGAAAACTGTCACTTGACTGGTTGAATGGTAAAGTCTCTTTAACTGATTTAATAGTTAATTGGTTTGCTGTAGAACAAAAAGGGTCTTAATAGTAGGTGAAGTTGGGAGGCAGATAGTTACTCTTTTTATTGCCATCGACGTAGAACAGATGAGAGAGGTATAGATAACTTGTTCAGGTGCCTTATGATATTAGCTGTAACAGTAAGTGTTCAGTGTAGCTTAAACTACCCTCCTCCTCCTTCTTCTTCTTCTACGCCCCCACCCCCTTCTGTTGCCACTCTGTGCAGCCAAACTAAAGTCTTCTACAATACCCTAATGAGAAAAAGCTGGTAGGAAAATCCTGGACCGAGTCCTACATAAACTTACAGCCATCTCACGGAACAGCCCAAAGAGAGGGGGGCCGAGGAGGAAGAACAAAATGTTGGAAGAGAGAAAAATAAAAAATGTTTAGAAAGGTCATCCATTCCTTTAGATACACTGTGGATGTGTTATGACTGTGGGGTGTTCATATGTCCCTTTTTATGGTTAAATACATCGTTTCCAGCAGATCTGGGTACTTATTTCTTACACAAATAGTGTGTCGTGTAAGCAGGCGATTATCCTTTTCAAAATCTACAAGATTGATCTTTTAGAAATTCAGATATGTTTTGTTTTAGGGTAGTATTAGCAATAGTGTTATTTTAGTGATTTGAGCTGTAAATTGTAACCTTCCAACTTTATATTATGAGGAAGAGAACATCAAATATTGAAACTCTTGTGTAAAGCAAACCAAGTACCTTATCACTAAATCAGTTTAAAGCCTAACCGTTTCACCAGTGAAGAGAACGTTTTCTAACCAGTGAGCCAATTAACCAATGAATTTCCCAACTATTCAACACACCGATCGACCATTCATTCAACCAATCATACCAGCAAAGGATTACCAAATACCCAACCCGTCAACCCACATATCTACCAATCAATCAAGAAACAACCTAACTACTACCACCTGACCCTTAAACTAGACAAACAACTATACTACAAAAACAGCTATCAACAACACCAACCAATCAAATACCAAACCAGTCAAACTACCACCTAACCATTCCAGCATCCAACCACCCATTTACATATCCAACCATACAGACTACCATGAAACCAGTCAATAATCAAACCATCAAACAAGTCAAACAAACCATCCAACCACTCAACCTACACATCTACTGTTCAGTCAAACAACAATACTACTAGTTCAGCATGCAACCACCCATCCAATTAACCATTCCATCATCCAACTAGCCATTAAACCATGTAACCATACAGTCAACCAGTCACCTATCCAACCGGTCAACCATCAAACCAGTCAGCCTACCAATCAGCTAACAAGTCCACGATCCGACTGCTGATTCAAAAACCTAAACAAACAACCTTCAAACCAGTCAATAATCAAACCATCTAACGACAGAACCTACCAATCTACTAACCAGTCCAGCATCCAACCAACCATTTATCCAACCACTCAATGATCAAACTATTCAACCATCCAACCAGTCAAAGATGAAACCATCCAACAACTAAACGTACTGATCTACGAACCAGTCCACCATCCAACCAACCCTTTATCACAAGCTTTTATGAATTGTCTTTTCTTTTTTTTTGTGTTTGTCTAACCTTGAACCTTATCCAACCAGTCAATGATCAAACTATGCAACCATTAAATCATCCAACAGTCAAACCAGTCAATAATCAAACCATCTAACCACTAAAGCCAACAATCTACTAACCAATCCACCATCCAACCAGCCATGTATCCATAAGTAATGTTTTTTTTTTGGACGGACACTATAATTACATTTTTTTAGTATGTTCAATCTGAATTTACTTTAAAATAAAAAAAATTCTACATTGACTCTGACTTTTCTACATCCAACTCACAGGTTTACCATTGCTTTGAGAAAAAAAGATTATTAATGTGTTAGAAGTGAAGGTATAGTCAATTGTTCTGGGAATGTCATTTTTGAGTCTGAGGCCTGAAAACAGGCTCGGGGTTAAATCATCTAACCAGCCAATCATCCAACCATCAAACCAGTAAACCTACATATCTTCTAACCAGTCCACCATCAAACCAACCATTTCTCTAAACAGGCAAAGATTAAACCATCCAACCATTAAACAATCTAACCATCCAACCATTAAACCAGTCAATAATCAAACCATCTAACCACTACACCTACCAATCTACTAACCAGTCCACCATCCAACCAACCATTTAAACAAACCAGTCGATGAACAAACTATGCAACCATCCAACCAGGCAACGATAAAACCCTCCAACCATTAAACCATTCAACCAGAAAGCCAACCAGCCTTCTAACCAGCCTTCTGTGCTGTTCCAGGTAATTAAGCGCAGATGACAGATTTTTCTTGTCATACGTCTTAATCATGACAAGCCGTTTTCTGGAGTAGCACTAATTACCTGCTGGGGTTTATGTGTGCTAATTGTTCTCCCTGAACAAATAATTGATGAAAGTCAGTGACAAATGTTCTGTCTGGAGACAAACATCTCCAACGACACACCATAAGAGATGGTGGGAAATGAGAGTGAAGCTGGAGGCAAAGACAAAGACGGAGCTGGTGAAACACACACACACACACACACACACACACACACACACACACACACACACACACACACACACACACACACACACACACACACACACACACACACACACACACACACACACACACTTGTGGCTGGACGCT